GTTTGACAGATGGCAGTACACGACGGTAAAGCCAACTTCCCTCAGCAACGCCACCTGTCTTCAAACACGGGTACTTATTGATCGACCCTCGTATATATATATATATATATACACACATATTATCACGTTTTGGGCATATGTCACGCGGCAACTAACTTCATGCTGTATTGGATATAGCGAATTTATTCCACATTCGCTCTTACAATTACACAACTTAGTCTCACAATTACTGCCATCGGCAGTATCACAAATACTTCTCCTGTTTTCATTCACACCAGCGAATGCTAGACTGCAACTGACTTCGGCGACTTCACGATCCACACTGACTCTCCTAATCACACTCTCTGGTCACATACTGCTCAGCCAGCTTTTTACACCATTCCCTGTTGCCTCGTGTTAGAGCGGTATCCTCTGTTATGACACAGTGGGAAGTGCTGTTACATCACCGCGGGGGAGGGGGGTGGAGTGTTGACTGGTCTGTTACCATCACAGTGACAGCACTCCAATGTTGTTACATCACCGCTGGCAGGGGAGGGGGGGTGTCCTGTATAGCGCAATATGTCACACTGCTCCTTCTTTAAGGATGTTCATCCCGAATAGCCTAATGGTGCATCCCCATTCCTTTTGTGTGAAGGCTGTTCTTACAACGTTTTCTTTTTGTCCAGGTACTCCTTTTGCGGTCACTATTCTTCGGCCGTTACATCCGCTCCCTTCTTAGGATTGTTCGTTGCGAACAACTCCATTGTCCAGTGTTTGTCGATCCCATCGTTTCACATTCATTCGTCTCAGGTTTTTCTCATTACTGGTCCCTCCTCTGCTTGCAGGATCTTTTTACGTTTTGGAGGGGGTCTACACCTCCACAAAGTCCATTTTATTATTTTTCGTAACCTGCTGGAAGTACCAACTACTTGTTTCGCGATCTTTCCTCTGAAAATCAAATTGACGGTCTTCTTGCTTGTTTCTCCACTTTCCAGGTGTGATCGCTGTTCTTATCCACACCCTTCAATGCAGTTCACGGTTTCCCTCTTCTTTCTCACGTACAGCGGCCGCTTGCCGCCTCAGTCCTTTGTTCGTCTTTTTCCTTTATGGTGCGTCCATAAAGTTTTTCTGAGCAGCCCTACTCCCTGGGTTGCTCGCTCAATCACGGCCATGGTGCAGTTTCTCCCAACGATGTTTTCCTTCTGTCGTGCCACTTTTGCACGGCGGCTCGTCCCTCTGTGGGCAATGGCCAATCTCTTCTGGGATCCACACTTTTCCTGTCTTATCCTTCGGTTCCTGGTGGCAGCGCTCCACTGCCGGTTTTCGGTCCCTATGCTGTTTCTTCCCTAAGGACCTCTCGTCATTCTGCCGTCTCAGGTTTCCTGTCCAGTGAGGTCAGCTGTTCTTCTTCTAGACGTGGCTCCATCTCCTGGTAGGCCATCATCTCTTCTTCTTCTTCCAGATACGCCATACTGGATATAGCAAATTTATTCCACATTCGTTCTTACAATTACATAATTTACAATCTCATGATTACTGCCATCGGCAGTATCACAAATACTTCTCCCGTTTCCATTCACTCTGGCGAAAGGTAGACTGCAATTGACTTCAGCGACTTCACGATCCACACTGTGTCACTCCTAATCACACACTCTCTGGTCACATACTGCTCAGCCGGCTTTTTATACTGTTCCTTGTTGCCTCGTGTTACAGCGGTGTCCTCTGTTACGTCACAGTGGGAAGTGCTGTTACATCACCACAGGGGGAGGGGGGGTGGAGTGTTGACTGGCCTGTTACCGTAGCAGTGACAGCACTCCAGTGTTGTTATGTCACCACTGGCGGGGGAGGGGGTGTCCTGCATAGCGCAATTCGTCACAATATTTATTTATTTATGACCTTACAAATGTCTTACAGACACCTGAGCAGCTACTATATAAAAAATTAAATGGAAATCAGAATTAAATGCTCCGTTAGTACCTCAATTAGGCTACAACTGCTTCCTTCCAAATCCTTTTCAAATTCACTAATTATGTTACCCGTTGAGACTATAACGAGATACTAACAGTATCACAAAATAAACCAGAAGAAGGAATAGAAGTATCAGTTCTAAATCCACAAACAAACCATGACCACATATGACAGAACAGAATTCTTAAAAACTTGTTTCACTTCTCACTTCGTGTAATGTAATATACCTTGTCCCGCCTCTCTGCAGTCAATATTGAAGTGTGTGTCTGTGTTGCACTTCACTCCTTTCTCGACTCCTGGACCAAAGATGTGCACCTTCGCAGCATTAGCTGGTTCTGACACAAACACCCTATGGGGACTGTTATGAGTTGCTACACCACCATAGTTCACCTGTATGTCAGGGCAAGAACAGGTCAACAGACTACACAGGAAAGTACAAAAGTTTCTCATGGGAAACAAAATGACTTACTAATATTATGGAATCCAAAGACTCATAACTTTAGCAGCAACAGCCCACTATTTAACCATACCCTAAACAAATTCAAGAAAGATACCATCACCACACCTTATCTGCCTCGCGCAGAAAGTGATGCCAATTAAAAACTCTCCTCTGTGTAGAGGAACCTTAGCTGCTCTCCCAGTCATCATAATGTTTGAAAAGAATCAAGAAATTTCCTTTGCACTGGTTATCATTTAACTTAAATTCTTCTTCTTGCCATGATGCATAAGAAATCAGCTTTCTACAGCCACTTGCAGCAAGAGAAAAGAAATATACAAATTACAATCTTCTATAGACTGTGTGATGAAAAATCAATTTATCTGTAGCCATAAGTAGGATGCATCAATTATGAAGAGAAACCTATAAAGTCAGAGAGTGAATGACATTTGCAGAATGTATAAAGCTGAGTATAAAAGGTGTACGATTTACTGGTAGACTGAATCCCGTAACTGATACAGCACTCTTCTTGCACAAATCCACTAAAGTAGCTGACAATTCACACCTGCTTTCCACTTAGTATAACTCACCCCATTTTATAGAAAAGCCTCGACGACCCTGTTTCTAAGCATGATTCAAAATTATGAGAATGTTTACACAGAAACTGAATGTGAACAGCACAAATTTCATGCCTAATAGTTTCTTGCAGTTCTAGCTAAAGGCATAGATTGTTCACATATACTTTCTCTCTAAGTGTGGCCCACAAATAAATATATAAGAACATAAACTGGGTGATCTCAGAGTTCACACTCCTTGACTTAAGACTCATTAACAAAAGACTTCATATAATGAATCCACAGAATTGTTCACAATTTGTACTGTTGCAGTATCTTGCACAAATTTCCCATGTAAGTTTACTTCATTATCTAGTTGATCAAAGAAAGTTGACAGAATCAATCTATATGTCTGGAATTTACTGCTTCATATAGAAACATGGGCCCAATTATTCCCGGTGCACTAACTGCACACCAAAGTCAAATGTTCCAATCATGCAATCACACTTCATGAACAGAATGATGGTTATTTATGCAACCACATATGCAGTGAACCACACCCAGTTAAAACAGAACGAAAGTTCTAGGTTAAGAAGTCCATTCCTGAAACCAGCTACAGTATTGCAGCATGTCTGCTGAAAGCCAGAACAATTTAATCAGCAGAGACAGCCACCGTGAGGTAACAGCTCTGCAACCATATTTCCAAGACTGCCATGTCTCATGACCACTGCCACGCTCATTTGTAACAGAGGAACATGTCACATATGTGTCTGCAGTGCCTTCGTGCAATAATAGAAGATTCGCAAGTAACAATGTTGCCACACAGTCTGCCACAAAATGGATGGTGCTGGTACAATGGAATGCATGAAATAGTGGCATATTTGCTCAAAGCAAGAATTGTGGAGCCAGAAAAACAGCTGCTGATAGAGAAAGGCTCTGAAACAACATTTGTTTATAGGCCAAAGCCATGAAACAGATGAAACAAACGGCCATTGCTAAACAGCCACTAGCGCACCAATGGACTGGCCAAGTAGCAATCTATTAGCACCTGCTCACACTGGTTATTCGCTAGCAGATTTTCTTTTTTCTTCTACCCTGAAGATGGAGGTGATACATTCCTCCAAAACATCGGTTAACACAATATCTACACAGCGCCACATCCCAGAAGACTGCTTTCTTCATAGTCACCACCATGAAAACCTCAAATCTCACATCATGTAATATTATACACATTCCATAATTTACAGCACTAATCAGCATTTAAAGGAGGAGTTACAATAAAAGTGCATAAAGAGGAACAAATATTTACCTGCACTGTATGGCGTGAGCCAGTCTTGGGGACATATTCTGCAGTGTATGTACCATCACCATTACTACGAACATTTACATCAATGTTGTTGTAGTTGGCATCAAGGACTTGGACATCAAGAGGGGCTGATCCTGCACGTCGTGTATCAATTGTAAACTGCGCCCGTTGGCCTTTACTCACTCCATCACGCTGCACACCAGGACCAAAGCACTCAACCTGTATTAACAATGAAAGATTTTAGTTTGGGAAAATAAATATGGTGATTGCACACAATTTTGTTATAATCTGTTAACTGTTCATTTTCACTTTTCCAGGTTAATATTAATACTCATCTAGGATGTAGTTAATTACAAAAACATTTCAATATAACCATAAATCAGATGAGTAAATTTTGAGTTGCTGTAGTTTTTGTTATCACAAACATGGTTAGGAAGTGGCCAACTGGCTAATTTTTTTTAATTCGCTTAGTGGGGGATGGAGTCCAGCTGGGTCCACTCGGCACAGAGGACATTGATTGGCCTATTGTACCTGCCCCAGGTGATTATGATGATGAAGAATTTGGTGGAATGAAGATTGGCAGGGGAAACCGAAGTACTCGGAGCAAACCGGCCCCAGCACCACTCTGTCCACCACAAATCTCACTTGACCAGACCCGAGATAGAACCTGGGCCACCGTGGTGTGAAGCCAGTGACTAACCGCTTCAGCTATGGCGCTGCTGGCCAACTGGCTAACTCAGGCAGTTAGTCACTGGCTTCCCACCACGGTGGCCCAGGGTTGAGCCTGGGTCTAGTCATGTNTAATAATGATAATAAAGGGAAAAAAAACATGGTTATGAACCTTCCAATCCCCTACAAGGTGGAGAAATTATTAACCAACCGAACAGTTGTCAGTCTATCAGAAGATTCTGTTCCACAGGGTGAATAAATACGTTTTAACACCTCATGTGACACAAAAAATGACCTTCTAATACTATACAGAGAGTGTTATAGTACCTACAGATTATTTTCAATACAATGAACTCCTACTACAGTGAATTCCACCAACTACAAAATTTACTTAATCAAACATTGCTGGAATGAAAATCTGTGATATTGTACTGCCAGGTATTACTATACTAACCCACCCTAGTTTATAAGATCAAGAAGTTATAAAACTTAACTTACAATTATTGTGCCATTTCAGGCTCAGCCCCTTCAAAGTTTCTTACCCAGTGGATGCTAAGTACATTCAACTGGTTCTGTCAAATTTACAGTTGTAATGCAGTATTTCCAAACACTGATTTAAGTGTGTTATTAATAAATGATGGTAACACAATCTTTAATAACAACAGAACATGGTAATAATTTTATTAAATGATGACCATAGAAATGCTCATGAAAATTATAACACATTTATTCTAGGATATGCATGCATTTAAAATATAAGTAATAGGAATAAGCATCAGAGAGACGTTATAATAAGTGGACTTGAGACTTTGAAGTTCTTAAATCCTAATAACAGATATTTCACAATACACCCACAATATAATTTCAGAATGTAAACTTGAAGAAAAATAATACACAAGCCACCAGTCATGCTAAATTCCAACACAAAACTGTGAATTTTGAACCTCATATTTTGAATATTAAGTTACTTCATTTTGTATATCACACATTGAATACACAGTGAGATGTTTATTTCTAAACAACAGAATATCTCTAATGTGAATTTAATAGCATCTTAGTGTATGCATAATGACAAGAGTATGTTAAATACCAGAGATTATTAATTTTCACCTTCCATACCTTATCAGGGTAATAGTCTGTACTTGGAAGAATCTGAGAAATGTATGGTGATTTTGGAATATCCTCGTTGTCACACAAGATGTGTACAGCATATTCCCCTGGGGCAGTTGGATAGTATCGCACGTCGGCAGAACCATCACCATTGTCATGACAGTCAATTTTTGCCTGTGATGGACCCTCAATACTGAAACCTGTCAAAAGAATCTAGCTTCAAATATTCATTATGTACTTTCAAAGCCAAGAAGAATATAAATTACAAATGTCTGTACACAGGTTTTGAGTTAATGACTATCACAACATTATGAGGTTGTTATTAACAACACTCTCACATTCAATTAATATGACAGACCACAGTATAACTCCATGAACTAATGCCTGTATTAATACACTAATTTCTACATCAGTGATATCAACTTCTCTCTGGTTTTACTTAAATAACACCAAGTCATGAAATATTAACAAGGAATTATCTACAAAAATTCTTAATAATTTATAGCCAGACTTCATAATTTGAATAAAATACTTCTACAGAACATAATGACTGCAAGCTTAAGAAAAACTTTCATAGTACAAAGTGAAGAGTAATGGATGTGAGGACAAAAATCTAAAACAAAAAAAAAAAAAAGGCAATAATTTTAACTTGCTAGTAGAATATCTCATGATAATGAGGTCCAGGTTCCAACTCTATTCCATCAGTTTCCATATTACAGGCTCTAAGAACCAGTTCAAGGAAGAAAATAATAGTTTATTATATTATAATTAAATCATATAGTAAATGTAAGGGCCCAAGAACAGATAAATAATAAATCAAAATTAAAATATTTTTCTACAAAATAAACTTCAGCAGAAATTTTGGAAAAAAGAAAACTTGAATAAAAAACTGCATACCTAGAGCTCCAGTTTCTCCATTTGTTTCCACGGTGAAGAGGGCAGGGTACCCCACTACACCACCTACCAAGCCTGGTCCATATGCATGGATTCTGGTCTGCTTGTACGGACCAACATTCACATCAAATGGTGATCGTGGAATCTCCTGTCCAGCAAATGACACCATCACAACATGTCGCCCTTCTTTGCGAGGATGGTAAACTGCTTCATAGGATGTGCCATCCACTTTACGAATCTTCACTGGTTCATTTACCCCACCTGCACCAACCAGCAAGATGTTCTACATAATGTCCCTGACCTGGCAAGCATATGGTCACTTTATGCACTCACTACAGTATTACTTTACAATATAGATGGCTCTTAAGAAATACGATGGGGTACCCAAAAGAAACCGAACTAATTTTTTTGTGGGCAGAGCTTTTGTAGTACTGCGTTTTGCCGCTATGAGCGCATAGAGCTAACATTCCTGAGTCGATAAGCTGACTTACCGTTGCTTCAGAAGGTAAGGACTAGTTTCGGCAGAGTTTATAGTGACAACTGTTTTGTGTGATCGTCGTTTTCGCAATGGCTGATTTTCGTGAACAGCATGCGGCAGTGAAATTCTGCTTTTTGCTCGGGAAAAGTGGAACAGAAACCCTTTGAAATGTTAAAAACGGTGTACAAGGACGATGCTATGGAGAAAACTCAAGTGTCTGAGTGGTTTTCCCATTTCAAAAATGGTGAAATGTCAATTGATGACAAACCTCGTTCTGGTCGTCCTTCCACGGCCCGAACACATGAAAATGTTGAAAAAATTCGTGAAATCATCAAGGAAGATTGACGACGGACCATTGAAGAAATTGTGGAGCTGTCGGGAGTGACTTGGAGCTCAGTTCAGCGAATTTTGACAGAAGATTTGGGAATGAAAAGGGTGGCTGCGAAATTCGTGCCATGACTGCTGACTGCTGAACAAAAACAAGGTCGCGTGGAAGCATGCTGTGCTTTGAAAGAAGAGTCCCGAAATGATCAAAACTTTTTTTCAGCGTTTTGCTGATGTTGCTGAGGTGAAGGAAAAAACGACGGAGGCGCTGTCAAGCATCTCAAAAGATGAATTTAGACAATGTTTTGAAAAATGGAATAAAAGACTAGACAAGTGTATTAGTGTAAGTGGAGAGTACTTTGAAGGGGATTGAAGGTTTGTGCTTAAAATTTGAATAAATAAGTTTAAAAAAAAATAAGTTCGGTTTCTTTTGGGTACCCCCTCGTATATTAAGAAACTAAAAACTGTTTAGAAAAATGTGAACAGAAAGGATGTTTGAAGTTAAAGAGGAATGGAAAATGTATGTTCTAGAGTTCACTCAGTGTTCTTAATACTTACATTAATCAGATACCTTTAAAAAGGCCGAAATTATGAAAAATGTACAAAACATATAAAATATTACCTTCATTCTAACATATTTTATCTACTCTATATTTTTGGAGATAAATATACAGGTTTTCTGAAACTCTGACATGACAGTTGTCTGGACTCAGAGTAAAGGAATTAACATTACACAGTATTATATGCAGTGATTTTCAGAGCTCCCTTGCATATAAGATTGTGCCTAAAGTTATTGCATTATTAATTGTGCATCAACGAATATCTAAATATGTTAAACCTTTCTGGTCAAATGTCGATACATAATCGACATTGTGACTGTGCTTCCATGAAGAAATGTCGATATATTATCGACAAACTATGTTTCATGTCATATTTCGGTCATACGTCACTAGTTGGCGTTGCAGACTATACCAACACACGCATGAATGTTTTGTATGCCTCCTTCTGCCATCTGGAAGTCATAATTTGAACTTCTTAAGAATAAATGCCATTTATATATTACGGTGTGTCACGTGTTAGTAGCATCCCTTTATGTTCAGCCTAACCAAGGCCCTCCTGATTGAAGAAACTAGATATAATCCCTTGTGTGATGGGGATGAAGCATCTAGTACTGATATGTTCAGCGAAGAACTCCATATTGACTATGATGATGAGATTAAGTTGGAAACTGAAGGATAAACTGCGAGTGAAGAATTGAGCAATGAAATATTGAAAAATGAGTGTGAGAGTGAAACAAGTGTTGTGACGTGTTGGTGGGTGGTAAGAGGTGACAATGGGTAATGATGCATGTGGGGAAATGATGCCGTCAAAAAGACAAGAAAGTACATGGAGTGATAAAACATATAGAGAAACAATTTAAGAAAAAAAATTATGCCAGGTAACATTGTAATAGATGAATCAGCAGTTGGGTTCAAGCACAAATTAATTTTCAAAACTTATAATACAAAAAACCAACGAAGTGGGGCATCAGATTATTTGCATTAGCTGAAAGTTACACTGATTACATTCACAGTATAATTCCAAATTACAGAAAACTTACAGGTGAAGTATAACTTACCATACTCTGAAAAACAGTTCATTACAAGAATAGTTCTTTTCTTAATGGACAGACTATGACTCAGTGTAGCTGGTACTGAAGACTACCACTATTTCACTGAGAGATATTATAGCAGTCTTGAGTTGGCCCCAGAATTGGACAATTGGCATTTAAAAACCCCTGACAACTTGGTTGCAGAATTTTTTCTAAATGCAATGACTGGAAAAGGTTTCACCCATTTCTTTGATGAGAAGCTGATGACATTAAAAGGAATTACCTTGACCATGAAAAGTGAAAGCACTTTGATATCTGCAAATTTCTGTGGTGAAAAAAAAGCGTAACCTTTTCCTCATCAAAGTACACTCTGTATTTCCTTTTGACATAATCATCGTGAAAGTGGTATTTACCAACATAAACAATAACAAATGTTTCTTTTGTAAGCTTGACAAAATGTGCAAGTACCTGGTCCAATAACACGCACTTCTGGGCTTCCTTCTCCTGCTCCTTCTGTGTAAATCTTGAAATCAGCAACATCGCCTACCCGTACTCCACTTGGCTGCAGACCTCGGCCTGAGGCCCTCACCTTCTTAGCATCTGACACTAATAATGAAACACAGCATTATGAAACTAAAGAGGATGTGTCCCATACATGTGCCACATCAGCTCCAACTACTTAATTTCCTCAATTTGAATACAAAATTTTCACATTTCAGTTTCTGAAATCTGAGTTCATCTTACATTTAATGGCATCAAAGAATTATCATACTGTAAGACTGAAATGCAAGGAAAATCTTCATATCCATTACACTAGTCATGGGACAGAAGACAAAGATAGCAAGAAGGGAGACTCTGGAAATATTTATATGTATTTCCTTTTTAAAAATGTAATTATTTGTGACAATGTATAAAGCACCAGACTGGGGATTGCAGGCTGAAAATAACAAGCAGTTTTACTCGTAACATGGGAATACATAAATGATTTTTAAACATATTTTCCTTGAAAATTTGCATACCTCCTCTGCATTGATATCCATTTACTGTAAATTAAAAACTAATATTGTAAAGTTACTTTTTTACTTGAGATGTCATATTGAAAAGAGTTAGAAACTGTTTCTTCTTACATTCCTTTAAATATTCACTGTGTGGAAAAATTCTTCAAATAAGAGTCACAGATTTTATGATAGGCATTAAAATAAATGCTCTGCAGCATCTGAGCACATTATGTGATTAACAAAGTGTGAGCAACACGCATGGCTCAGTGTGTGCTCAGGTAGGTATCAAAAGGTTTAATCCTAGAAGCCCAACACATTTCGAACTAAGCAACATACCTGGTGCCACTCTCACCCCATAAGGGCTGTTGGGTATGGGTTGTCCTGCAAAGAACACATTGACAGAATGCAAACCAACGACTGGGGACACATATTCACATCGCCACACATCTTGAGAAATAGGACGCACTTTCACTGGCACTGTGTTTTTGTGACCTGATGGATCAAGAATGATGACTTCTGGAACTCCACGACCAGCATCTGTCAGAACAATATATTGAAAACTCATTTTAGAAACCCCAGGGTTAATATGAATATATCTACTTACAATTTCATGCTTTATTCCAAAAAATAAAAAACAAAAACAGAAAAATGTACAATTTTTAAGGTACAATATGAGACATATTTCAATTTTCACAATACTTTCTACCTGGCCCTGATGTTTCCTTCTTAGAATAACTACCCAAACATGCACAACCATCTCCTGGGCTTTACAGAAATCCCAAATGCTGCATACCTTTGGTAGAGATGTCAAAGTATGTTGGTCGGTTTATCATTACACCATCAGGCTGTAACCCAGGTCCTGAAGCTGTAACCTTGCTTGGATCACCTGCATGACCTTCCACAGCAACAGTGTAAGGAGATTTTGGTATTTCACGTCCAGCAAATTTTACAGACACTTTGTGATTTCCTTCCAAACGAGGAACGTAAGACACACTGTATGTCAAATTACGATCCTTATTGAAACGAATATCAACCTGAAACCAAATCACCAACAACAACAACAATAATAATATGCTACTAACATCAATAAAACATGGGACATGCTTAAAATAAATGCAGCAAATTATTTCACTGTAACCACTAATTTTAAGACACCATGAAATGTTATGTCTAAGCCATCACACTAATGAACAGTGACAACAATATAAGACATGTATATGTGAGGGACTGTTAAGTCAACCCAAAACATGATGGTATGGCAGAAATTACGATTAAAGGCAAACTTTTCTCTTCTAAATATTTTACTCTTTACATATTAACCTTCCACAGCCAAAAGAAATATCTGTATCTTGGTATTCTTTTTTTGTATTTGTATTTATTAGTCCGCCATAGATCCATAAGAAATTACAATTTCAGCAGATGTAGTTACCGTCAATAAATATATAGTCAGCCTTGCAAAATTCTACTTGTCCAACAATTACATGATAGAAAAATATATGAGAATAGCTGTGCAATAGGGCACATTGTCTAAAAAAATTTCACAACTATGCAAAGTAACATGTTACAATTAATGCAGGAAAAAGTCAAACATAAAAGGCAAAAGATCATATATACATAATATTTCATATAGACCAAAAAGATTACAAAATGGTTAAAAATTAATATCATAAAACTTCTCCAAATTATAAAAACAATTAGAAACCAGACATTTTTTTAAGGTTCTCTTAAATTTTTAGGTGACCCAATCAACTCTAAGATAAGAAGGTAATTTGTTGAAAATTTTAATACTGGTAAAATATATGCCCTTTTGATATATAGTTAATCTCGAAAGAGGAAAATGAAGATTTTCACCTTGTATAGTCTTCACATTATGGCTATCATAATTTGTAATAAAAAGTTTTTATTCTTTACAACAAATAATAAAATATAAAAAATATATTGTGATTTCAGTGGCAATATTTCCAATTTTTTAAAAAGAGCCCTACATGAAGTCCTATTTCCATGACCTGTCATTATACATACAACTCTTTTTTGCAGCTTAAAGAGTTTATCACTGCTTGATGATAAACCCCAAAATAAAATACCATAAGCTAAAACAGAATGAAATAAAGAATAACAGATCATTGTTAATGAAGTAGAGGACATATAGGGTTTAACTGCTCTAATCATATAACACATTCTGGTGAATCCCTTCATAAGCTTATCTGTGTGCAAATTCCAAGTCAATGTATCATCTATTATTAGACCTAGAAATTTAATATGGGAAACTTCAGTTATAACATTATTATTACAGGTCAATATAGTATCAGTTGATACGGTGTTGTTTGTATTAAATTGCATACAATAGGTTTTTAAAAAATTAATAGATAACAAATTTGATTTAAACATTTGTGCACTATTTGAAAATTCATATTTAATTTAGCGTTTATATTATCCGTGTTTCTGTCTGTAATTATTAGACTAGTATCATCCACAAATAAAATAGGCATAGATAACTTATTAATGGCCATTGGGAAATCATTTATATATAGCAAAAATAACAAAGGTCCCAGGACTGAATCTTGAAGTACACCATGTTTGATTTTAGACCAATTTGATGTTAAGATCTGACCACTTGATTTATCTTTTAAATTTACATGCTAGTATCTATTACTTAAAAACTGCGAAAATAATTTATTGGTTGAACTTGTAACTCCATATATTTCTAGTTTATGAAGAATAATATCATGATTTACACAGTCAAACGCTTTCTCAATATCACAAAAAATTCCCTTGACTCTAGATTTGTTATTTAAGGCAGTTAAAACCTCATTCAATAAGGCATAAACAGCAATGTCCATGGACAAATATTTCTGAAAGCCATATTGACTTGGACTAAGAATAGCATACTTATACAAATGATTCATCAGTCTGTTAAATATAACTTTCTCAACTATTTTAGAAAATGATGTTAGCAGAGAAACTGGTCTGTAATTTGATATTAATTTTTTATCCACTTTTTTATAAAGTGGCTTTATTATTGAGTATTTTAGTCTCTCTGGGAAAACACCAAATCTTATAATTTTATTACAGATATGATTAAGGGGCGAACTTAAAAGGACTGTACTCATTTTTAAGACCCTCAAAGATATCAGGTCATAGCCACAGGAATCTTTAGTTTTAAAAGAGTAAATGATTTTTTTAAGTTCTTCAGTAGTAACTGGTTTATTACAAATTTTTTGGAAATTTAAATTTTATTGCCTGTTCCATAAATGACAAGTAGTTCATTTCAGGTAAACTACCAAGGCTATTTGTTACTGAGTTTGCCAAAGTATCCGCTAATGGTAGGAAATATTCATTTATAGTTTCTGCAACATTCTGATTACAGGATTTATCATTTAACTAATCGGCATCATCTTGTTTAGTAGATTTACCTGTTCCTATATTTATAATTTTCCAGGTAGATTTCATCTTATCATGTGTTTTAGTACAAAAATTATATGCCATTTTCTTTGCTGCAGTTATAATCTTTTTTAATACTTTGCAATATTTATCATAATATGATTTAATGGATGTATTTACATTTTTTTCATCATTACATATAGCTCCCTTTTATGTTTACAAAATGTTTTAATACCTTGAGTAATCCAAGTGATATCATTCTTTAATGTAGTGTTTTTTTTTTCTGTTGGGGGGGGGAACTTGCATTAAAGATTCTCAAATAAGTATTTAAGAAGGAGTTAAATAAAAGATTTACATCCTCCTCCTCCTCAAAAATTTCATCCCAAGTTTCATAACTTAGTTGTAACAAAAATTCTGCAGCTGTAAAATCATCGATTTTTATATAGGAGTATGTCTGAAAATCTTTTTTATCTTTTACCGGAAGCACTATTTTGAGTAACTGGGCTTCATGGTCTGATAATCCGTTATGTAGATACGAGGCAGAATGATAATCATATTTGGAAATATCTATAAAGATATTATTAAAAGCAGTACTAGTGCTAGCACATATTCTAGTGGGAAAAGTGACAATATTTATTAGATTAAATGTTTCAAAAAGGGCTTTTAATTGTGTCACCCTACTTGTTTCTTCCAAACAGTTTATATTAAAATTGCCACAAATGATTAAATCAACTCTGGAATTATAAATTAACGGTAAAATCAGCTCTAAATCCATTAGAAATTTGGAAACATTTCCAGTTGGTGACCTATATATAGTTAAAATACAGAATTTTCTATTCAAAATATTTAATTGAATAGCACAAATCTCAAGATCTTTGTCGGTATTGTAAGTTTCCAAATTTAGAGCGGAGTAGTTTATGACATTTTTAACAAATACGCACACACCACCCTTCCACATCTGATTTCTACAAAAGTGTGCACCAAGAGAATAACTATCAATATGTATAGATTGAATTTCAGACATTGATAAATGTTGTTCAGTAAAACACAATAAATGAGGAGATTCAGATACAAAATGACATAAAATTTCATTAGATTTATTATGTAAACCTCGTATATTTTGATGAAATATTGACAGGTTCCTTTTGTTATAATGATTTTCAATGCACAGAGTGTCATGTTTTGGATTAGGTTTACTCTGAATAGTGATTTCGTTTAATGTCAATGAGTCAAACTCAGTATTTTTTAATTGTTCAAAGGGTATGGCATACCCTTCATGTTAGTGCACAACTGGATTTCAATCAAAGTAAGAAATTGTCTATGCAACTCCTATGGTACATATCAGTATCTCCCGACTTATAGGATTTTGATTTACATGAATTTTAGGTTACACTGATATTTCATACAATTTTCTTTAATTTATTCTTTATAGAAAAACTAAAAATAATGGACACATTGTCTAAAACAAAAGAATTAGTATGAAATTAGGTAAAATGAATTGTTTTAAGGTTAATAGAATTTTGTATTTTTCATTTGACATTAAAATCACTGAGGAAAGAACAAAAAAAAAAAAAAGACAAGTTACATGACCACTCTAGAAAATGCAACTACTGTGTAAATTCAGACTAAATTCCTGTATTTGAGATCATCATGGTAGTAGATATGCATATTTCAATTAAACATTCACAGTATCAGCAGTACGAATTTTTTGCAGAAGCATTTTAATGTAGAACTAAAATTGTTCTGTTTTTTACATATCTAATTTTGTTGTGTAGTATGTAATTTAGGTATGAGGAATTGAAATTTCTATCTACAAATTTTCTCACTGTAACCTGTGTGTAACATCATGTGCAGAAACAAATAGTGATGACCTACATGAACATGAAATTGTAGACTATTTTTTAATATGATTTATAAGTGAAAAATGGAATGGTAAGCTACATTGTGAGAAACCTGGCCATGAAAGGGCTAAGATGTATAGGAACAAAAAAGGGAGTACAAAATGAAGAATATTTAACAACATGCACTCACAGGTTCCAGTTGTCCATTGGGGTTTTCCACAGTGACATCAATTTGGCCTTTACCAGCAGAGAATGTTTCAACAGTGAAGTTTGCTGGTGCTCCAACCACAGGTCCAGATGGTTCAATTCCGGGGCCATATGCCCGTACTCTATTAAAACATTACACACAATACGTGTATACTGTGATGAAGAGTAAGAAGAATGGGGGGGAGGTAGCTGCAGTAAGAAGTTAAACATAACATTACATAATAAAAAGAAAGCTGTACCCTTCAGGAAGAGCGCCCACATACATATAAGAAAGATGTGCAGAAACTATAATAAATGCACAATTATCATCATCTTCAGTATCATCACGATTACTGCCAGTACATTAAGCAGATCACTTAACATGAAAAGTGATTTGGAAGAAGTACTGGAAGATTCAAATGAAAAGAACACCAAGAATAATGTGGAATTGCCCCAACTTGGCACCATGACAGTATACAGGTAATTATTTTTTTATGCTAGTGGGGTGGGACTAAGTCCCTTGTAGGCCACGCCATAGCTCAAGCGGTTAGTCGCAGGCTTCCCACCGCAGTGGCCTGGGTTCGATCCCAGGTCTGGTCAAGTGGGATTTGTGGTGGACAAAGTGGCGCTGGGGCAGGTTTCTCCGAGTACTTCGGTTTCCCCTGCCAATCTTCATTCCACCAATTCCTCCACAATCACCCTCACCTATCATCTGGGGCTTGTACAATAGGCCAGAAGTGGCCGCAGTACAAGGGACTTAGTCCCACTCCACTAGCAATAAAAAAAAGTCCCTTGTATTGCGGCCACTTTTGGCCTACTATACCAGCCCCAGATGATAGGTGAGGGAGATTGTGGAGCAATTGGTGGAATGAAGATTGGCAGGGGAAACCGAAGTACTCAGAGAAAACCTGCCCCAGTGCAACTTTCTCCATGAAAAATCCCACTTGACCAGACCCGGGATTGAACCCGGGCTGCCGCGGTGAGAAGCCAGCGACTAACCGTTTGAGCTATGGTGCAGCCCTAGTATACAGGTAACACTGAGGTAAAGTTCCATGCATTTTAGATCATGGCATGACACAGAGGTGATTTACCATCTTCAAACTGCTGACTTTACCACCACTACTCCACTTAAACATACCCTGGTAGCAACTACAGCAGAAATGTCTACAAGTGAACATTTTCCTTATCAGCATTTAATTTATAACCAATTTCACACACCTGTAACCTGGAAGCTTCCACTCAGATTCACAGTAAAACAATAGTGTATGCACAACACTAAAAAAGCACAAGTATGCTTTGAATGATGATGACAAATATATTAAAATTATAAAGATTCTGCCAATGATAATGAAGTGGCTTCATCTTGACAGAAACTTTTAACCTATTTCCTTAAAAATTAAGAATTATTTCACTCTTTGAAGCATTTCTTCTATACAATATTTAAAAAACTCAATTCCTACTTCAGAAACATGCTGTGTGTCCATTATGAAAAGCAACTCATTGATACAGTTTAAGGAAACAATCACTCTCTCCTAAGAATCATATGAAACACATAAATGAACTCTGTGGGCAAATGAAGAGCATGTTAAATGCTAAAAGGCAGTATATATACTAACCATTGTACCTTCCATGGTTGACACTTGAAGTCCTACAAGTTCAAAAATCTTCTAGTACTGTATCATATTCACTTCTTATTATAACAACACAGTCACCAGTATTTCATTATTACTTGTTTCCCTTGTCAATAGGACTACTCTTTAAACACTACGTATGTCTTTATCTACAACAGATTTTGCCATATGTGTGCCATCTTTCAATCATATAATTAAAATATCGTAAAATGAATGGATACACTGGTGTGTTGTCTTTGACAATAAAACAATATGGGCAGTCCATTATAGCAACATTTCATCATGCTTAATTCATAATAATTAATCAACTGAATTTAATTTGTGTTTCCAAGACAATGAATCTTTGTGCTGAAGCACACAGTAAGAAAGAATCCCATGCCTAACTGAACATTAAGCTACCTATTTAACTGCCATTCATATAATTAAGTCCAAATTACCCATCCTTATACACAAGAATCCCACAAAACACTAAGTTCTGATCAGCTGTAAAGTGCTATAATGAAAATCATGACAAATACTATTTCTTCTAGTAGTGTTATATGAGACAACTTTGATTGTTCATCAGTTAAGTACATTCAATATCAATGAATCTTAGTATGACAGACAATACAACAAGCATTTCATATCTGCCACACACAACATTATTTATGTGAATATGAAAACATCAAAAAATCAAATTGTTTTATGTTAAGATAAAATTCAGCACAAAATGTTAGATGAATTATTGTTTGTATCATCACCAGCAGTTTCAAACAGCCAACATAACAGCAAAAGGGAACAGAGCAATTCACTGTGATTCCACAGAGCACACACACATACAGTATATCAAATGGTGAAATATATATTCCATCATTTGGCTTTACACTGCACACCTAAAACTAATATGTATATATGACAGATAACATATAGGGCTTGAATGCTAGTGTACTCTTTTTCCAAAAGACCTGACTGTGACAGACCAACAACATTTAAGAACAAAATATTAACTTTATCTTCTGGTTCAAAAAATGTGTTGAAACATAAACTGTGTCTGCAAAATGTTGTCATTCTCTTATGTCTAACTGGTCTTTCTTCTTTAACTGGATTAAGTAATATCAGCCCAAGTAAACCATACAACTGAGTATTTATGGTGCAGAATATAAAAATAAGAATCAGAAATATGATACACAATGCATGCTGTTTCCCAACAGAGAATGATAAATATGTCTTCCTTTCCCAACACTATATCATCCCAATAATGCCAAAGCCTCCTCCTTAACACAGAAAAATCTTGACTCTTCATCTAAACTTATCACTATCAGATGAAACGCACAATGCTCTAAACAGAGCTTTTACTGGATGAAGTGTTTATGTTATAAAACACTAAAGCATACATCACATTTGAGAGGTTATACAGTGGCAAAATAACATACAGCATTTACTATGCTATAATTCTGATATTAATTATTACACATGGTTTGAAAATTAAACTCTGGGACTGAGTCCTTTATGCACATTTAAAAGTACATGTTAACATGTTCCAACTTGTCCACGTAAGGTGACTCTTCCATCATGTTCTCTGTATAAGGTCAGTCACTTCATGCTCGGTCATGTTTAAGATTCTGTACCATGCACATTATTGTAACAGTTTGTACTGATGGAACAAAGAGCAAACATTAAGTTTTGTTTCAAGATGGGCAAAACAGCCACTGAAACTGTACAACAGATAAAACAGGCTTACAGTTACAATGCTCTATCCCATACACAGGTTTTTGAATGGTATGGAAGATTTTGGGACAACTGTGAAAATTTTGATGATGACGAACACAAGGGACAACAAACAGCCATTTGAACTCCTGATATGATCAAGAGTTCAGGAATTGATTTCAACTGACTGTCAAATGACTCTTCAGATGATGGAAGTGGAATTAAAAATCTGAAGAGAAACAAATTGAAAAATCTTACTTGAAGATCATGGAAAATAGAAAGTATGCATTAGGTTTGTTCCGCACTGTTTGGCCAATGAACAGAATGCTCTCAGACTGCAAGCTTATCAAGAGTTTATTCAGTCTGTGGATGATCATTCCTTGCTTGACTCAGTTGTAATGGCTGATGAGACCTGGTGTTTCTACTATGAACCCAAAAAAAAAAAGATAAAGCATGGAATGGTGCTCTCAAAGTTCTCCAAGACACAAAAAAAATTCTGATTTCAAAAGTCAAAAAACAAAGTAATGTTGGTCACATTTTTCAAAAGTCAGGGGATCATTCACAAAGAATTTGTTCCACCAGGTCAGACAACGAATAAAGAATATTGTGAGCACACCTGAAGGCTGGAATAGCAGAGCTAGAGTAGACATTCATTGCTAGGCAACTAAACAGGTTCCGGCAGAAATGAATGTGCAAAACATCAGAAAAGTGGTGTTTTCTATGTGAACGGTTCCATGACCGTTGCTATGCAGTTGTGTGGTAAAAACACACCTCAACAACAGAGAGACTGTTTTTTTCCTGTGTGGTTTGTGCCGAGGGGTTATAAACAGGACAAAGAACATCGTTTGAGTCAATTGAGATTTGAGATGACAGCCTACTAGGATATGAGCTTGGGAGCAGAGGAATTGAATTGAGGAATTGAGGCATCAGAATTATTGAGTGCACATCAGAATAACTGAGTGCAGTATGGTGGAGCTGAAAGTATGGCCGCAAAGGGAAGACTTTGTCTGTGCTACAGTACCGTGATATTTGGAGTGTGCAGTTACAGTGAGACTGTTATAGTTCCTGTGTTAAAATCCATTGCCAGGGAACAACTAGTGGAGAGTGTAACAGATTGATGACACATGTGTAACAGTGAACTGTGAAGTATGTTATCAGCAATAGTGCTGTAATTGCCTGTAGTTCAGAGAAGTGTGTATAAGGTGTTAATAAAACCAATCCACACCCCTTCTAATAATCACGCACCCCTAAAACGTGACAATATTATGCGGCAGTATTGTCTTATTTGGTTGGAAGATTTCGTCAAGTAACATCTCAGTTTCATGAAAGAGGAAGCAGTTTCCTTTTGCATGATGGCATGAGACCTCACACTACAGTATCAATAAAGCAGTTTTTAGCAAAACAATGGATTTCAGAATTAAATCACCCCCATACTGTCCTGATTAATCCCCATCAGACTTCTGTTTATTCCCAAAAATAAAATCCAGCCTGAAAGGGAGAAGATTTGGAGACAAGTAGGACATTAATAGAAATGTAACAAAGTAATTGTTGGAATTACATGCACCTGAGCTCAAAAAGTATATCCAACAATTTTATGATCAGTCACAAAAGTGTGTGACATCTCAAGAGGATTATTTTGAAAAATATTGGAAGATATGTTCGACTTTAAATGTGATTTTCTTAAAATGTATGCAGTTCTAGAACTTAATTGTCTAACCTTGAATTTTCTGCCTAATATGTACCATACGAAATTTTTATTATTTATGGAGCATAATCTGAGAACATAATTCACCAAAACCCATTTGGAACATGAAAAAAATGCATTCGTGTTTAATATTTTCAACTACCTGTGAGTACAGATTTCTCCTAACTTCGTATATTTCTAGTTACTATAGGATTCTGACGATGGTGTATAACACACTGATATATTGGGTTTCTGGACTTATCCATCGTCCTGGTTTTTAAGATAACAAATAAAAACACGACGTTTCGGAAACTGGATCTGTTTCCGTCCTCAGGTAAAGGAAAAGGGAAACACCTATTCTATAATCTTCATGTTTTGTGACATTGGTTTGTCCAGTGATTGAGGCTAGCTCTTTCTAACGGACCCAACAGAATAGGTGTTTCCCTTTTCCTTCACCTGAGGGCGGAAACAGATCCAGTTTCCGAAACGTCGTGTTTTTATTTGTTATCTTAAAAACCAGGACGATGGATAAAGTCCAGAAACCCAATATATCGGTTCGTATATTTCATTTATTCTTAGACTTATGTCTTGTGTGACCCACAACAAGAATAACAGTAATGTGAAATACATCATATTATACCATTTTGTCAGTGAAAATTCACCAGAACAATGTTCTGACAAAGTAATATCATCAAAGAAAAGTTCCAGAACAAAAATCAGAAATGAGAAAAAAGTACAGTACACATTTTGAACATTCCCACACAAATGAAAAAAATCCTAAACAATGGAATTGGACAGCATACTCAAATACTCCATGTCAGTAGATCTAGACCCCATGTAATGTAACAACTTTGTAAGAAAGCCTGAAATTATCCCAAGTTAGGTCAGGGGCCTCATACTGCTGTCAAGAAGAGGGATCCATAATATGAATGATGTGTCAGCGTTCAACTTCATATGTGGAAAAGTTCTATCTTCTGGGATATAATGCCATGTAGTTCACCAAAGGTTAACTTTCAACAGACTACACAGTGTTATACATGTAAGACAGAAGACAGAGTCTTCATATCACTGCTGTGAGAACTGGCAGTGTTTCTGACATTTCGGAGATAACATACTGCCACCGTCCTCAGGGTCAAAGTGATAAGAGTGGGCGAGTGTTTGTATGTTTGTATGTATGTATATAGGTTATTGTTCTAACAAGAGACCCACTGGAAGGAGGTGAAGGGTAGAGCACAGTCCACACCAATAGGGACAAGGGACAAGGAAAATCCACTGTCCAATGTCTCCACAAGCCTGGACCAGGACACTGCCACCCCTCCCAATGTTCTGCTTGAAATGTGTACAGACACACAATTATTCACCCACCTTCCTCCATTCAATCCTGAATATGGAGCCATCACATATCTCCAAAACACTGCCAACATTCACACAGTGCAAAGACATCTGAACAGAATCAGCATCAATGCCATGAAAGCCGAAAATTAGTAACTGACACATTGAATCTATCAGTGTCAATGTAACTACTTTCTAATAATATCTATCAGAGTCAATGTAACTACTTTCTAATAATCATTAACTTACATTATTTTATATTTTTATTTTGTTCCCAACCACGAAATTTTTCAAGATTCACCAATATATGTACTAGCATATCTCACTCTTGCACAAAACTGTGTGCAAATGAGGGAAGGGGGAAGTAAAACCCAACCTGTACCGCACAGTTACTGAGGATGTCAATGATATCTCCCACATTAAGAACACAAAAGTTTGCTTCCTGTCACTGGATTATATTGTGACGTGTTGCACAATGGAGGACAACCCCTCACCCCGCCAGCAGCAACGTAACACTTTCGGAGCGTTGCCATTGCTATGGTAATAAGCTAGTCAACACTCCGCCTCTCCCTGCGGTGATGTAACATGGGATGCCGCCTTTTCTACTCAGCAGTAAACAACTCCCGACAGCGTTGCTAGCAACACGGCGCCAGACAACAGTGGTACCTATTACGTGGTTGTTTTCTGTGTTGTCCGGAACGAGGCTAAATAAGGAGCAGCGAAGACTATTCACAGTCAGTTCTCAAGTTACGAGTTCACGAGATAGTTCTCAAGTTCTCGAGTTACTAGTCACGAGTTAGCCAGGAAGTCAACCAGTCAATTGGAGTACAGCATTTGCAGTGTAGTATTTGTGATACTGCCGATGGCAGTTATTGTCAGATCGTTAATTGTGTGATTGTAAGAGCGAATGTGGAATAAAATTGCTATATCAAATACGGTGTGAAGTTATTTGTCACGTTATACACTCAACACGTGACAATATTAAGATGGCTTGCAAAGTATTTGTACTTGAGAAGTCACTCAAGGAGGCCAAAATTTCTGAAACAATGGAGATTTTTCAGTACTTTCACTAAGTTCAGATCCTAAGCACAACAGACCACTGTAGGTCAGGTGCAAGGGCTGAGAAGGCCTACCCCTCATACAAGATCAGATCCTTCCTAGCACTGAATAAATTTCAGATTGTTGTAAACTGAATCAATCATCATGCATATTGTCATGTAATCATAAGAATCAGACTTCTCCATCCATACTAGCACAAATGTTTTCGGTGACTGCAAATGGTCCTAAGGGAATTTTCATGATCTAGTACAGCATGTCACAGATGCATGCTTCTTAATAAAATATTACAGAATCATATCAATTTGACAGCTAAACAATTGATATTTTACATTTTCACAATGAAGGTAAATTATTCCCTGGGCTTAAGTACCATGCTACGAAGGTGTACAGAGGAACAAAGGTAAATCAACATGCATTACTAATTTCAGCACCAGATGTAGAGAGTAGCCAATTTCATGCTCCAGTCACTTTAACCCCAGGAAGTCTGGTAGTTAGATAGCTATATTGATAAAAATATATCAAAATTTAACCTTAGAAGAGTAATTAAACTGCCAAAGCTCATTTCATAAACTCATTCACAGAAATTATCCAACTATACTGCCACAGAATTTGAACACAGTTTTCTATTTTTAAAATAAGTTCAGTGTGAAAAAATATTTGTCCTAAGAACGTAAAAGTATCATTCTGATGTTGGATATTACTCAGCTTTTTTATTTAAAAACAGAAAGCTGAAAGGAAAACTGTTTCTTCTAGCCAAGTCACAAAGGCTTTAGATCTCTAGCTGCACTGCATCCATTTAATGAAGCTACATTGTTATTCAAATGATGATGTTCCTACACACCATCCCTACAATAAGCACAACAGCATGCGCCGACTTACCGAGGCGGAGGAATGCTGCAGTTCAGGAATGCAAGAGAAAATAACAGCAAGTTACACTTCAGTTTCAACAATATACAAATGTGTGCCAACAACTAGGGATGTCTTTTAATGCCAAAGATTTTATTAGGAAAAAGATAATGTGAGTGCTAACACAATGCACGACTGATTTTATACTGATTAATAATTACATTATTTTGAACTGCCTCAGCCAAAACAAATGAGTTCTGAGTATGTAGTGAATTCCACATAGATACAAATCTGTTATGAATTCAGTTCAAGCTGATAGCTTTTCATTTTAATTTAACCTGGTCAAAACACACACACATATATTAATAATATTTAGAGAAATAGAATTGGGTGGTATGGACTGGAATAATGTGGCCCAGAACAAGGACCAGTGGAGGGTTCTTGTGAACAGAGTAATGAACCTTCTAAAAAGGTAATACTATGCCATGAAGGCACATGAGGAAATGGATGTACAGATCCACAATTTCTTGATGTTGGCAATAGCTGGAAGTGAGTGGTCAGCTTCACACCCTGGCTGCTTTACCACCAGGGAAAGAGGCCCTGGTACCCACTGGATAGGAAGTTGGGTGGACCCCAGACCCAGTCTGGACGATCTTGAGAAGAGAAAATCATAACCCTACTGGGACTCAAAATCTGACCCCTCGATCTTCCAGCCTGTAGCTGGTCACTATACCGACTACATTATCCTGGCTCCTCATAATGAGCATTCTGGTTGCATAACATATTCAGAAATTCTTGAGTAGCTGAGTGAATGGCGGCCTCTCAAGAAGGACTCAGCTCCATGGAATTAGTTAGTTACTACTATATACTATTACTATATCTATACGTTTTTTATTTAAAAAAAAAACACGGTGAAAAGTCACAAAGAAAATCTTCAGTCACAATGGCTGGGAGAACAGTCAACATTTCAATCACGCACCTTCTGAATACAAGTCAGGAGTGTTAACATTACATCAATTTGCCCAGCAAAGCAAGTAACACTCAACTAATTATAAAGAACAATTTTCATATTATCTGACCTTTAGGCATAAATACTTATATGCTGAAGATATGTTACCTCTGCATGTGATTGATCAGCCATGTAGAACTGATCACTGACTGCAACAACTTCATGTTACACGCTGAGAAAACAAGGAATTAATACTCAGGCCCAATGATGGGACACCTCTGTCAAAAGCCCCCATTCTCTTAAAAGACTTATCAATAAAACATGTATAAAATACATTTAGCACTCAGTGTAACTTGGTGACCTATTTTGTTCAATTTGTACCAAATCAATCATCATATACATACATGATTAAATTATCAATATTGGCTGACATCCGCACTCACTTTATAATGATGGCACTCCAGTTTCTCTTCATCTCAGACTACTGTGGTAACAAAATGTTTAATAGTAAATCATGTGCTAATGATCAATGTTAATATTATAACCTTAAAAAGGCTGTTGAGAACTGGCCACAAAACAGTCATACTTGGTTTTGCAATCTTGTGGAGTTGATATTTCTGGTAGGGATAATGCATTCCTTAGTCAAATAAAACTAGAGAAAAGATGGTAAATGCAAGATAAAGTAGGAAACACTGGAACAACATTTAACTATAACAGAACTATATTGATTTCAATTTTTACACTTCCAACATGCACAAACATAACAAGTACTCAAAAAATATGATATTACTAGGAAAGAAATATGTAACAAGTATCTAGCTCAAATAAGAGTCTTACTAGAATATTTATAACCAATTATTTATACCAAAAAATATTTCACTTTTATAAAGTTTGTGAACTTGAATAAAAATTTCCTTACTCAGTGACCAGCCAAAGATAAGAAACCTCCAACTTAACAAGTGAGGATGTAATAATGTGCTGTCTGCTCAAGGCTGTTACATAAATTATGGAGAGGTGATGAAGATGGAGACACGGTGGAAGGACGATTAGAACGAGAAACTTGAGCAAAATCTGCTCCAGTGACACTTCATATGCCACATGTCTGTGAAATGTAACATGAAATAAACATTACAATCCGATGTACATATGTGGGCTCATAGCTTACCTGTTGGGGTTAGTACGGGGTCGCAAGGGTGCTCCTGGCTTCAACTTCGCACTTGGGTACTGTGAGAGGTATGTCATCATTGACATTTCATCCATGTTTGGGTTCACCAGTTCTTCTGGTTTGATTAACTAAAAACCAAAGTAAATCAAAGCTTCAGATTGAAGTACAAATGTACATTACATGTATTTACACAGAACGTAATGGGTGAATGGAAGGATTCCAAAGTAAATATGATATGGTGTATAAAAGTATGAAAAGATTATGCAATAAGTTAAGTGAATTAAATATACTTAATTACATGACCATTTATATCACGAAAATGTGGAAAAATTCACCACAAAACTAAATTCCATTATATTATGGAACTCACACATTTAAGGTACTGTAACAAAAACCTGACACAGGATACAAATATTATGTTTCTGGACATTATCCATCGTCCTGCCTTTATCTAAAAACACAGTCCCGTTTATTTTTCAAAACACAATGCTTCGGGAAATCGATTCTGTCTATCTCTTCAAGTAAAACCTACTCAGTCAGGCCCAATTGACAGAGCTAGTCCCTATCTTATTCTGTGCCATTTCAGTCACTAATATCTGCTTCCCAAAGGCAAATTTTAATACAGGTATCTGACTTAGGCAATTAAATTCTGGTTCCTCCTCATTATCTTCTACTTTCCTGATGGAATAATCTAAAGCAAAATCAAAAAGAAACATCCTCATTTCAGACCACAGTCACATGTAAATCATCAAATTTTTCAAAATCTATCTTGATTCTGTACAATACTTACCTGCCAACTGAACTATAATCTACATGAGGAAACAAAAGTATATTTGGTGACTACATTAAAATTTCTAAATTATGGCCTGTTCTTTATACAGGAAACTAAATAACCTTTTAAACTAAAAGCTAAAAAGACAGCTATGCTTAGCACAACATTAATCAATCTCATCTTTGAGAAACTCCTTTTCTTTTTCAAGATAAATATACCACATGCTGCACAAACTACATAAAAAGTACCTGTCTCAAAAAAGAAATAAGGGAATACAACACTGGCCAAAGGAAAATAAAAGTCAAGATTCTATTGAGAAATTCAGAAAATATGGCGAAATTTCAGTATATTTAAATAGAATATATTAAAATGAACATTTCTTGCATTTAGAGTGAGGGTTAGGAACTGAGGGAAATAAACAAATGCGGTGATGACACAGAAAACACAGTGTAAGGAATTACTGTCTGAACATTTGTACTCACACATAAAACTGGCTAAGAATGAACCAGTCAGTCTACTTCAATACTCTCCAGGATTATTTCCTCAGAAACTGCCTCAAAACTCTGAATCCTCATATTATTGTAATTTATCCAATGAGATATTCCATAAGACTGTCATAGCACCTTCTGATGTTTTATCATACACATAATAAAATATAAGAAAACAAGGGGAAATAATGGGCAGTGCACTAGATATACATAGTCAAAGATATACTGGCTATAATCTACATACAGAAGTCACAAGATACTTATGGGTATAGATAGAAAGAAATGCATAATAAAAAGAATGAGAAAGGAGGTGTATATTCATCTAACTATAAATTTCTTCAGCAGGAGTTTGTTAAGGTTCAGGATCTCAGTCCTCACCTGTCTAACGTTCAACCAATCATCTGCCAGACCCATGGCCTCTGATGCATTTTGGAGAGAGTCTTTTGGATTCCAGTCTTGCCAATCCGGGCAGAGCCCTATTAAAGATTAAACATAGTGTTAACTCAAAATAATCCTGTCACTCAGGTACTTCCCTACTCGTAAAAATTTTATTAGGGAATCAAACTTGGATGTCAATAAAGAAACTGTATGCCTCCAATCCCTGTATAGGGTTAACCTGCATGAAACATTAGATCCAGGGAAATGATCACCTGGTAGCCAGCTGTAAGCATGCGGTTGCACACAAATTCCTGACCTGAGTGACATGACATTCTACATCCCAAAACAAAAGACTAACGAAACAGCAGCCAAATAAAAAAAACATAAAAAACCTAGCACAATTAATTTCAAATTACACATTAAATAAAATTAAAAATAAGGATACGGCAGATCACGCTATCATAAGACACACATATTAACATGTGTGATTGACACCTAACAAAAATTTGTACCTCATTTCAACGTAAATTCAAATTAATTATATTGCTAACATAAAATAAAAACTATTTTCTTATCAGAAGCTGTGTTAAAAGTGTGCATATAAATTACATGTTCTGTGGCACTCTTCAATCAGCAGTGTTTAACCTAAAATTTTAGATAGATGACAAAACACCCCACTTTCAAATTGAATAATCAAGCTCCTACTGAACAAGCACAACATGTATACAACTACAGTGTTGAGAAAAGTGTTTCCAATTTACAGAAAGGTCATGCAGTGCTTTGTTGCTAATATGCCAATGGAGCTTATAAAACAGAAAATACAAAGAGAGAATCACGTTTTACCTGGTGCAACAGCATCAACCAATGCTCCAACAGCTTTGCCATCATTCCAGTCAGATGTGAAGTTTGTAATAGGAAGATCTGGGAGTTTGCTCTGGATCCAGTGTAATAATCTAAACACAATACACAACAACATTCATTTTATAGGATTGGAGATTCTCTCATGGGTTGTTATGAAGAGTTCTATCTTCTGGGATATTATGTCCTGCAGTCCATTGAGAGCTATGCTGATGATGTGAATCTACCGGGTGATAATATAAATACCATAAAGAAGAACACACAAACTTGAACTGATGCTAGTAAGGAGGTTGGTCTAGAAGTAAACACAGAGAAAACTAAGTATATGTTGCTGTCTTGTCACCAGAATGAAGCGCAAAATCATGACATAAAGACAGCTAACAGATGTTTAAAAAATGTGGCACAGTTCAGATATTTGGGAACAACTATCACAAATCAAAACCTGATTTAGGAGAAAATTAAGAGGAGACTGAATTCAAGTAATGCAAGCTACCAATCAGTCAAGAACCTTTTGTCTTCTCGTCTGCTGTCTAAAAACAAAAATCAGAATAAACAAAACTATTATTTTGCCTGTGGTTCTGTATGAGTGTGAAACTTGGTCTCTGCTCTGACATTAAGGGAGGAACACAGACTGAGGGAGTTTGAGAACAGGGTGCTGAGGAGAATATTTGGATTGAAGAGAGATGGAGTGACGGGAGGTTGGAGAAAACTACATAATGAGGAGCTTTATAACTTGCACTCTTTGCCAAGTATAATTAGAATTATGAAGACAACGAGGATGAGATGGCAGGGCATGTAGAACAAATGGGGAAGAAGAGGAATGCATATAGGATATTGGTAGGAAAAAAAGAAGGAAAGAGAACACTATGAAGACGACATAGATGGGTGGAAAATATTAAAATGGGTCTTAGAGAGATAGGATGGGATGATATGAATTGAATCGATCTGGCTCAGGATACGGACCAGCTGAGGGCTCTTGGGAACACTGTAATGAACCTTTGGGTTCTGTAAGTTCTTGAGTAGTTGCACAATTGGCGGCTTCTCAAAAAGAGCTTAGCTCCATGAGTGAGTGAGTCCACTGAAAGTCAACTGTTGTTTTGGAGGAATATGCTGCCTCCATCGTCAGGTTCAAAGAATAAGCCAAGTGGCATGTTCCTCCGAACCATCAAATGACTCAATGGACTACACAGTGTTATTATTTTTTATTATTTTTTTTTTATTCTTAGTGGGGTGAGACTGAGTCCACTTGGTACTGCGGTACACGGTGTTATATCCAGAAGACAGAATTCTTCAACCTTATTTTTTCTCTCACCACCACCACCAGGAATATTACAGATATATCCAAATATAATTATCCTAATCTAAAATAATACTGGTTTTCTGTTATTATTCCATGACCATGATGTTTGCATACTGGTGAAGATGTGATGACAGAAAAATAACAATTAGTTCACACACAATATGGTGCTACAACATAATATTTGCAATACTCTTTCTGTTATTTGCTGAAATGTATTACTAAAAGACTTTTAATAAAACATGTAAATGCAGCAATACCTTGCATGGTCTGGCTTCGATCAGTCTGGATTTACTATAGTCCGGTTTGAAAATTTCAAAACAAACTAAATTTTAATTGAGCAAAAGAAAAATAAATTCTAAAAAATTAGTATACAAAATTATTTTTAATACATAAATTATCTTTTTTTTTTTTCCTTTATACAGTCAAATCTCTTTTTGTGCGGTTTATTTTTATGTGGTTTTAAGGTTATGTGATATGATACATATTTCAATTTTTTCTGGCGTTCTCCGTTGTACATGTATGTACTTATGCTCAGGTCGTTCATTCTTGAGCTCTAACCGCTATCACTGGAGGAGGTGGGGAGAGCACTACTTTAACGGAATTCTGGATGAGCTACATCAGAAACATCATCAAAAATATAGGCGAAGCATGGCATGAATTAACGGCAAGCAATATGAGGGCAGTATAGAAACATATCATACCACATTGTGCAAATGATTTCATTGGTTTTGAAACTCATTTTGCTGAAGTCACTAATAACATAGTGGAAATTGGACAGCAACTTGGTTTCAACGAGTCAGATTCCGTAATTGAGTTTATCAAATCGAACACTAATGAACTAGAGAATGAAACACTTATTAACACAGATGATTAACAATGGCCTTATAAAGAACGGGATGACAACATAGACGATGACTGTGTTGAAGTGCCTGCATGAGAAATAACAGATGAACAACTATCAAAAATTACTGGAATGGTTGAAACCTTGTCAGAGCACACTATGGAAGTTGATCCCAATATTGAATGCAGCCTTACAATTCACCAAACGATAAACAATGCAATTCATTGCTACAAAGAAATGTATCATGAGAAAAGGCCAAAGAAGAAAAATGTGCAGACATCAATATTGCAATTTTTAGAGAATAGAAAATTAATCGCGAAAAACATTAATTTTTTAAAATTATTTCTAATAAAGACATTTGAATTTATTAATCACATTTCATTTATTGAAAAACAGAGATTTTTTTAACCAATTATCATTTTTGTATGTATTTAGTTCCTTGATTAGTCCAGTTTCAAACAGTCCAGGATACTGGCAGAACCGATTACCCGGGCTATGAGAGGTATTGCTGTATTATTAACTTGTTCCACCCCCACCCCCTCATTTCTTCTCAGGTTATTCTATCTTGGATGCTTTCATTCATATCCTAAGTTATATAATTGCAATAATAGGATGACTGTGAATGATAAATTGCAAAAGATATTTAAGGAAGCAGTCTGGCCTATTTTAAGGCACAACTGCACCGTCTGCCTGAAGAAACCGAAATACATCATAAAATATCTCGGTCAGAAGAGCCAAGATTAGGACCAAGATTCTAATCCCAAACTTTCATAACAAGAAGCAGGAGTAGAATTATTAACCATCTGGACTTCCAGTGCTTACTTTCAATGACACAAAATATTACAAACAACTCATGAAGGCAACTGTAATATGCAAATGAACTAGAGAAGTTCAGATTATCAAGGTAATGGTCATAGTCTATTTTAAGATTTGGCTGAATTTCATTTAGTCTTACTTATTTTCTTCAGTGAGGAAGGGCGATTTTAGAGACAAGACTCTGAGCACTCTGACACAACACAGTTTACATGAGTTCTGGTGAAATTTTTTTACTAATATACAGAGAACACTATATCCACTCATTCACTCTGTTGTTGTTCATCAAGTCATTCAAGCATGGCGTTTACATTCAACTAAACTGCATCTGTTATAAATTATATTTACAGATATTAATGATTCTGAGAAAGTTGAGGTAATATGCCAGAAGAGCACTGGGGACATCAACAATTCTAAGCCCAGCAGAAAATATGACTCTGCGTGTGTATATTGTTTTATGTTTCACTCTTCTATTTCTTTCTTAACGTTTTTCTAATTTTTGTCAATTGTAATATGAGAATATGATGTTTAACTGGTAAATGAAAATTTATTTCCATCCCCAAAAAAAGTTCCATATAGCAATACTGCAATGTAAATGAGAATGACGAAAGCATGAAATGAGAGCCCAAACTATAGATGAATTATGTCTACCAGTATTAAATATTTAATCATGAAAGTTTCTACAAAATGTAGTAGTATGGCAACAACCATACTTCATTACTCTATTCTGAAGATTGAGGCAGTATGTTCCTCCAAAACCTACCAAATAACATGAGGCTCTAACTTGAACGACCACAACATGAACTTTCACTGCTGTGAAAATACAAATCTCATAGTATTATTTTTTTTTATTGCTAGTGGGGTGGGACTAAGTCCCTTGTACTGCGGCCACTTCTGACCTACTGTACCAGATCCAGATGATAAGTGAGGGTGATTGTGGAGCAATTGGTGGAATGAAGATTGGCAGGGGAAACCGAAGTACTCAGAGAAAACCTACCCCAGCGCCACTTTGTCCACCACAAATCTCACTTGACCAGACCTGGGATCAAATCCGGGTCGCCACGGTGGGAAATCAGCGACTAACCACTTTAGCTATGGTGCGGCCCCCAAATTTCACAGTAAATAATTACATTAAACATAAATGCAATACAGTATAAAGACAGCAGATACAGAACCACTAACCTCTGTTTGGGTGTAGGACCTTTCCCTTCGCCATATAGAGGTTCTTCTTCTCCTTCCCACATGGGCATAGAAATGGAATAATGAAGGATCAGCGTCCATATCAAGCCAAGAATGAGTTTCAACTTGCAGTCCACAATATCTGTTGAATCTGAAACATGACACACCACCACATTAACTGTAGATCCAAGGGGACCAGGATGATATTTTAATTCAATATTCATACTTCTTATTTCTGTCCATTTAACAATACTTTGCCACATGCATACATCATGGGACATCAAATTCCAGATGGGTGTGAATGATGCATACAGGAAGGTCTAAAGGTACAACCATGGCCTATTTTAAGTCATTGTATCAGCATAGGAAAGCATAAGAAACCTCAATCAGGGTGGCAAGTCTCCAGGTCATGACCCAGAACCTCCCAACACACAACAGAAATCCTCATATTCCTTATTATTCTTATTCATATAGATATTGGGATGATATTGCTTCTCCCATGTAATACTGTCACGTATTTAGGAGTGTTACTATAGACGGGGTACGGACTGGTGAACAGATTCACTGACCACATATACACACCACTCAGAACTACAATTACAGGCTATTGCTGATCTCCACACCCACTAAACTTTGTCAGCCTGCTGTGTATTCACCAGCTTTCCTCTGTCAAAGGCTTCTAACAGTGGAGGTTCTTCAACTTCCCCCCCTCTCAGATCCTGTCTTCACAGCATCCCGCACAGAACTCTTTGTCAACTGTCAACTCAACAATAGTGTAGAGCTCAACTCAACTGCCAACCCTCAGCTATCTGGATCCCAGGCTAGCAGCCAATTCACAGCAACATCCCAGTCTTCTCTCCACTGCCCTCAGCCATCCAGGAGTCCTCACTATATAACCTTGCAGCAAACCCAACAGAAAACACTGCTTCCAACAATCCTTCTACTGTTGTCAAGGGTGGCTGCCTTGTGACAGACAGTATCCCTTCCACCGGAATGTGTTTATTGACCATTAACAAGCAATGCATGTTCATTCTCACGATCGTTGCACAGCAACAGTACTACATGCTACAACATACTCACATATACCTATTTTCTGATAGGGACCAGTGGAGGACTCTTGTGAACATGGTAATGAACCTTTGGGTTCCATGATATGTTGCAAAAATTCTTAAGAAGCTGCACAACTGGCAGCTCAGCTCGATAAAATCGGTCATGCCTAATTTATAACCACTAATGCAAGAAGGTGCAAAATAATGTCTGACCTATTTGATGTAAGAACAGTAGTAATAGGAATGGAACACTAATATAGACTTAAAAGGAGAAATCAGTACAATATTAACACAGATGATCAGAGCCCGGATTCTGATGACCTGAAAATATTTAAAAAGTGACCTATAAAATGACAGAAAAAATCCAGAAAAATTACCTAAAATATGACCCAAAAATGTAATATGCAGGGCTCGGATTTTGATGACCTGAAAATATTTAAAAAATAACCTATAAAATGACTGAAACCCCCCAGAAAAATGACCTAAAGGAGAAAGAGAAAGTACACTTCGCTTCCATATTATTCACATTTCAGAAAACATACGAAGAAAAATTCCCTAAAATGGCCAAAAATTTACCAAAAAATTACCCCCAAAATGAAAAAATTACCTTAAACCTAAAAATGTCAAAAAATTACCTATAAAATTTACATTTCTGTAACCAGCAGCTCATATCCGAGATTTATATATTTAAGAGCATCGCATAGGATACAAGGAAAAAAAGATGACATGTCATCAAAATCTGGGCCCTGCTGATGATAAACGAAACAAAGTGTGTAACTGAGCAAAATACAATAATCGCCTTGATAAAATTTTTAATATTCATTGCATTTCTGTGAAGAAAAACATCTGTTGGCCCTAAAACATAATACAAGACTTTATTGATGTAAATCAGCATCTCCATTCAGCTTAACACTACACCACCACTGCCAATGCTGGCATCATTAATGCTTTTGTTATTATACAAAAGTCATAATACAATTAAAAATTTTCTGGCCTTCTTTTTTGAACCATCACTATTTTGTTAATGAGAAAGCGACAAATATATTCACTAGGATTAGTGGGAGACGTTTGTATCAATCATGTTAACCGGCTAACACTTCAAAAAATAAAATAAGAATGTTACTTTCGTGGTCCAGTGGTGTTCCACATAGTGGCAGGAGAAGTGATCAGATAATCGATCATCTGCTTGTTAGCAATTTCCTCCATGCTACCATGTTGGTCAAACGAGAAACATAAGCACACTCTCCAGCCTCTACAGTCACTTGGTGCTTGCAGAGCCTGCAAGCGACTGAGGCAAGCAAGCAAGCAAGCAAGCAAGCAAGCAAGCAAGCAAGCATGAAAAATGTGACGGCGAAATGCGCATTTCTGCTCAAGAAACTAGCATAACATTCTTCAAAGCTCTGACGTCAATATTTATTTGTAAGTATCTTCAGGAGCATTTCCACATGCCAAAATACTATTCGAAATTATGCAAAACAAAAGTAACGACAGTTACTGTTCCAAGAATGTGGAAGAGTTTTGTACTTATTTTTAACAGGGTAGTGGCAATAGTTTAAAAATTTGGGTCAGAAAATGAGAGCAGCTTATAAAAAAATAAAGAACACTCAGAACTGTTGGCTAAGATACAGTGAACTGACCGAAGGACTTCGTATCACCGCCGGTGAAATGATCGGCATTATAAGGCCAGCAGATAAATCAATTTTTGCAAAACTGCCACAAAAAATTTGATTCATTTGAATAATCTGGAAACTTTAGATAACGTTTCCAGCTACTGTTTGTGAGTCGTAACTGAAATCACACAGACGGCATTTTGATTTTCTTCTGAAAACTGAATCTCTCATTATTTATCCACTGTAATAATTCTTACAAAGTAATATTTCAGCCCTGCTCAAATATTTTACTGCTTAAGATATGAGTATGGTATTACCGTTTAGTCAAAAAAGATCTGCACAATTATTAACCATTCGAATGATTAGTGTGCCTGTTGAGCAGTTATTCTCTGCTTCGAAGAAGGTCCACACTTACCTACAGAGCACGGAGCACTCAGTAAGTTATCACTAATGAAAATCAAGAAGAAAACACTTCAGAACTTTCATATCAATCCTAACTTCCAAGAGTGTGCGCAAGACATTGCCACTGAAGAGAAAAATTGTAACCAGCAGTTGATAACCTTTTCTTAGTTTATATTTATTTTCCCTTATACTCCTTAAATTCGTCAATTTTTTGTTCAAATTTGCAGAGTTGTCATGTACAAAGTATATACTCAACTGCCAAAATTGTAACCATGTCCCTCTGCCTCAAAATCTGGCTAACAGTGCTGAAGAAGTCACATTCTCCCAGTTAGAGCTCAAATTTCCGCTTCCGCCAACCCATTGCACACAATAGCTAAAAAGAACCGTAACGTAAATTAACATGAACTAATTTAATGTCAACAGCTATATGCACTCTAAAGAAAACTCCGTTGCCTGTGCTCAGCAAGCGAACTATACCGACCGAGAAACTGCCGCTTGTCGGAGAAATTAGTGCCAACTTTTGCGGATAGAGGGAGTCACGCGGTCAGCGCAATGAATCCCCACGGTTCCACATCTTATGGCAATGCAAACGATTTGATGCGGCACGAGAAGACATGCTCAGGAACCTGATTAAGCGCAATGAATACCCCCCGTACAAGATCGAACCCCTCCTCAGGGACATGGATCCTGGGATTATTGCATCGATTGCTCACTACCTAACCCGCATCGACATCACCATTTAATGAACATACATTAGTCCTTGCTACATAAATTAGATACAAACCGTATCTACTCCACCAACAACCGCCTTCACTTAGCCACGTATTTCAGTTTAGACCTACTCATCAGCATGCTATAAACTTGTTTCATATTAAGCCTACTTGTAAACTTAATGTAAATATGTCTTAACTCTGAACCTATTTGTAAGCATGTTACAGACTCTAACTTAAGCTTGTAATTGGCAGAATGGGCTCTCCAGCCCGACGCCAAATTCTTATATCTCACAATAAAAAAAAAAAAAAANCGGTTGGTAATCTCGGTTTTCTACACCGGAGCCGCCGTTTTCCTTGAAATAGCTCCTCAATTATCCTCACGAGTCTGAATGGACCCCGTTCCGGACCCACTTCTCAGAAAATCTGGTAGCGCAGGGAATCGAACCCGGACCTCTGGATCTGTAGCCAGGAACTCTTGACTACCAGACCACAGCTCTAATCCATACTTTAATTCATTTTGACCGAAAAGAATTCTCTATATATCGGGTATATTCATTCATCCCACACATAAATATTCGTATAAACAAAAATTAAAGATAGAATGAATCGCATTTGCTCTTGCAATTTAATACCACCTCCCCACTATAAAATAGACGCTAAGTCAATTTTGACTTAAAACTTAATACTGAATAAGCGTCAAGCTCCATGAGGCTCTTGAGATCCAGCGTCGAATTATATGATGACTGATGAACTGGAAAGGACTTGGAAAGAAGTTGTAGTAGCCAGCCACTTGCCTCGATTAACTGAGTAAAATTATGAAAAAATAAAACCGGAATGGCCAGTGTCTCGGCCAAGATTCGAATAGGGCAAATCCGAGAAACAACAAAACCTGCAAAACAGCAGAGTCTGCAATTTGGCACCGCAAGAAAGCCGCCATCACAACCGCGGCTCGGCTTGGTAATTGAAAAACATTTGCTCCAGACCAAGAATAAGAAGTAGCCGAGCAAGTTTCGAGATTTCCAAAACTTTTTTTTTTGTCTAATGCCTACAGAGTTTCGCCGATTGCATATGATTTCGCGGAAGCCAATAACCTCAAAACTAATTTTTCGAATTCGGCAGCAAAACTTGCCGTCAAAGACGGTTTGTAACTACCTACGTACCACTCGGCACTACAGCCCTGGGTGAGCCTTGGCCTCCTCTACAACCAGTCCCCACAACCAATGCGTGCTGCCATAGGAATGGAGCCACGCATGATGACACGAGGATGGTTGTTAGGTTTCTGAACAAAATTCTTTTTAAAGGATGAGGTTGTCAGTCTCATGCCCAACCTCCAACCTGGAGGACCAGGATATCTCTTTAATATGGACTCTACCCTTT